ATTTGGTGTAACTATCAAACATGTTGAGTCTTAAATCTTGAGAGTCATGTGGTCATTCTCTCACAAGAAAAAGGCCACAATCAAGTCATTATTTTACAAGAAAAAAAGTCAACCTAATCCTGGGACCACCTGATCACAACCATCACACATATCCAATCTATCCATGGTATGAGTTTTCCTCTCCACTGCAAATTCAACCTGCTAAAAGCCTGATAAATACACTGTTGCCACAAAAGTACCAACAAATGTCAAAGCTAGAAGAATATCTTCTTAGCTGTATAAGTAAAACTTTTTTCAAATCAATAAAAACTCTGTTGAGTCAGTACTTAGCGTCAGCTCTTTTCTATAATGAGTTGCAATAAGTGGAACAGTGTATATTCAGCCGGTTAATTTCACATTATCCCTAATGAAACTACAATGAATTTGACAAAAGACAAAATAACACGGCTTTCAAAACTCTATTTGTATGCAGTCAGTGTACTGTGTGGAGGGACAATCACAGTATGTCCGAGAACAGAGAAATGCTTTGAGGAAAAACATGCAATAGTCAGCTCTTGTCATAAGTTATAGTGAGAGCCACACCTTCTTACCCATCAATATCCCCAAGAGACGGGGGCATAATTACAGACTGTGGTATGTGTGTGTGTTTGTGTAAGTGTGTGTGTGTGTGTCAGCAGCATATGAAGGAGGATTTGTGAGCTGTCACTCCTCCTGTGCTCATAGAACACAGAGAGGAGGATGAAGATGAGGAGGAGGAGGAGGAGTGTTGTTCATCAGCCTGATACAGAGCTGGTCAGCAGCCTGAGGCAGGCTGGCAGTTCTTCAGACTCTGTGCTGATTGTGTCTTCACTCATGTCAGCCAGCTGACTCCCAGCAGCATCTTCACTCAGTCTGTTCGCTGCCACTCAGTCAATAGACTTTTTGAAGGAAGTCTAAATTTGCGGGATTTTAATATTCAGGTCTGTATGAATGTGTGTGTGTAATCACAGAACAGAATGAATGAATCCAGTGTGACATCCTGCCCTTATGGTCCAGATGGTTCAGTCAAAAACTCTGATACATCCACACTGTGACACGTAAATCAACCAGCAGGAAGAGTATGATACACTTATGTTTAACCGTCGCATATCATTTCATGTAAATCCCATGAACCTGTTAACAACATATCTTTCTTCAAGTTCTTGAGCTCCTCTGTTTTGTTGGTTATTTTTCTGGATCACTGCCGCAGATGACCTGTTGGTGGACCCAAGTCACCAAACCTCAAGTGTGGGTTGCATCTTTGGTCCAAGTAAGGTCTAAGTCATCAGAGAAGAATTTGAGTCAAGCCTGAATTAAGTCCTTATTATCTGAGTTCTGAAAATAAATATGACAACTCTAGCTATGCAGATGACACATAACTTTACATAATCATATCTCCTGATGACTCAGCTTATAACCTTTGAACTGTTTTTTAGATTTAAGTGATGAATGGCAGAGAACATTTTCCAGCTTAAAGGCAAACTAAGGACCTACCTTTTTTAGTCTGGCTTTCAACTCAAATGTTATTTATTTCACTGATCGTATTGTGTTCTCCTAACTCATTTATTCTGTTTTAATGTTCTTTGTGTTCTTCTACCAGAGTTATCTTTTTTTTATTTACTATCATATTTAGGTTACTCTCTGTCTTCATACCTCTTTCTGAACTCTCCATCACTACTGTAGGACAGATGAGATGTAATGCTGTGGTGGATATTTAGTGCATCTTTTGATAACTGCCAGACCTTTACCCATAACCCTGACAGTTTTTTAATATACTCTGAACATTTCAATCTGACATCTGACATCACACCAAGGAGGTTAAGTTCCTCCTGTTGTTCAACAAGCACTCATTTAACTGACAAATTTTTACCATGGCTTATCTTTTAGTCTTATTTTCAATCCAACTACAGTTCTTTTAGTTTTTTAAGCGATTAAATTGTAGTTTATTGTTACATGCCCATTCAACAGCAGCTTGTAGTTTTCTACCAAAAGCATACCTAATTAATCTAGCCTGATTTACAACAAGAAAAAGATTAAGAAGAGCAATGGATCCAAACATCTCCCTTGAGGTACGCCTGTAGCTACCATTAGAAAAAACATTGGCTCCATTTTGTAACAGTTTCATTTATGTAACAGTAGTTCATGATCTAAAACCACAGACTGTTTATACTACGGACAATTTGGTTCCGCCTTACGCCGGTATACAGATTGGAGCCAAAAAGCTCTCAGCATTTCCTCATTTCTTCTCCACTTACTGTAACCAACATTGCGCAGTAGCGGTGTATGCGCTCCACCACTTGCGCAGTAGCATTGTACGCATTTGGCAGGAGAGTCACAGAGAGTTGCTGTGATGACACTTGGCTCAAACAACGTGTTCCCTGGGTGAGCTACGCAATCTTTATACACCCCCTAATCACTTTTAAAAATGGGGCTGTACAGAAAAAAGAGGACTTGAGCACAAACCAATCTTACTGTAACTACATGTCAACATCGCATCCAAGGGGGAGAAAAAAATATATTCCGTGTAACAAATTTCTAAAGTTGGTCCACAGCTCCATAAGGATTGCTGGAGGAGGCGGGATTAATGACCTATATGCTATATATTTTTATATTTTTTGCTAATTTCAACACAGTGTATGAAATGCTACTGTAAAAGAGTAAGATCACAGAAACAATTAACACAGTGTATGAAATGCTACTGTAAAAAACATACACACCCAAAAGCTGCTAATAATCACAATAAATTGAGTATATGTGATTAGTTACTTGAATTATTTTGAGTCTTGCAAAAGGCTTTAGTGCTCTTTTAGTGTCCTGAGATATTTTGCTATGCAATTAAAAAGATAGATAAAGTGATTTAATGTAAAATAGTAAACAGTCAGTGTAGATACGAGGGTTTTGAGTGTCTGCTGGACAGTTTGTCCACCAGGGAGCACTGACAGGCTGCAGGTCATATGAAGCCATCTCTGCGTTATCTTGATGTTTTACACAGTTTAAAAGAAGGGGGGAAAAAAGAAAGAAAAAAACGAACAACCTTAGCAGGAAAAAAAAAATCTGTTTCTTATGAGCTTGAAGTCATTTGTATAAATAAAGGGCGGTCAGAAAGCAAGACAGCAGTTCATACGTGGTACGCAGTGGAAACTGTAATGTGTGGTGCTTTGTTAAAACTATGTCCTCACTCTAAACAAAGTCTGACCCCCTCCTGTCTTTGACACTTTCTTGACTGACTTAAATGAAAACAAAATCTCACTGTTCATGTTTCGGGGTTCACTGCTCATTGGTAAATGTCCCGCTCTTGTACCTCTGGCTGCTGACGTCCTCCTGCTCTCACTCAAAGACCCGCGTGCAGCTCACCGTGCAGCCCGGACAGGTGAGGTCTGCGCGCCGTGTGCTCGTGCATGGAGCACGTGCAGAGAAGTGAAATGTAAGTGAAGTCACTGGAGAGGATATTGACGTTTCTACAATGTCTAGCATTAGATTAAGTTACGTCATTCTGATAGGAAACAAAGAGCAGCATCGATCCCGAGGACTCATCGGGGCTACAACCGGAAATAAAGACGTATGACCTTCACAATAAAAGCTTACATTTAATTGTCATACAGAAGAAACAGAATATTTTTTTCTGTGCAAAATGAGTTGAACTGACAGTCATTTTTGATTGTACAAACTTTTCAAATGCAGGATTATACCTAACATGCATCACAAACACTTCTTGACTTGGCTTGAAGGCCACCGTCCCTCCTCTGACTGGAGTAAAGGAGCAATTCAATCAAGAATCTTTTTGTTCAATATCCCAAAAATGCTCATTCCTACACACTACCGTTTCAGCTCCCCTGATAAACTCTCAGTTTGTGTCATTTTGTTGATCACTGTGGACAAAATCATATCTGAACTTGAGTAAGTGGTGATTTCAAACAACAAAACGTATACTGCTGACTTTAAAGAGTAAAATGGATCCCTAATTGTGAAACTACACTTAGAAAATAGAAGCAAGTTCTGTTTCCGCAATTAATCACTAAGCCTGACATCTACCCTTCATCAGTGGTTAATTATTCAGTCATACCATTTAATTGTCTTGTTTGTGTTTGTATGAAATTAAGAGATATCAGTTTTAATCATAATATGTTTCATAACTCGTAAAAAAAATTCACAGCAGCTTCCAGACAAGTAAACAAAGCGCACAAGACCATCATCCTCCTGCTTCCTACCACTGCTACAGGGTCAAGAGGGCAGCAAAAGGTCTTGTTTCAGGCTCCAATTGTTATTTTTGAAGTGTCTAACAAAATTGGGATCACTTTCAGAAAGATATTTTGTAACATTAAGCACTACAAAGACACAACATGTACAAGACGTATACATGTACGCTCTGTGCTACATTTGTTTAATGCCTTTTGAATTTATGTAAATTCTTAAAAACGGTCATGAGCAGAACAAATAAGAACGAAAACGAAAACATTCACTCTACTTGATAAAAATGGTATATATCCATAAAAAGGCCTGAATTAACCCAGCAACAAGATGGCAATTTTGGGATGTATGAGTTTCACTGCTACCTCTACTACTACTTTTACTACCCCCACTACTACTACTACTACTGCTACTCAACTACTACTACTACTACTACTACTACTACTACTACTATTATTATTATTATTATTATTATTATTATTATTATTATTATTATTATTATATCTTATCTTGTGCTTTATTATTGCCTTTTTCATGTCATATTATTTGATTCTCATTTAATTATAATGTAGTCTTGTCTTGTGCTTTGTATCAAAAAGATTTCTATTCATACCATTTGAGGCACAGTACCTTAGTTCTGTCCACATACTATTGAACCAGAAACAAGAATCCAGTAAATATATGAGTACTTAAGTCTAGAGGCTCAGGAGACCGAACTTCTTGTGGTTTCAAGGAGCTCCCTCCTTGTGCTTTTATTTTGAAAACGGAAACCGTCAGAGTCGGGGTGCAGTCTTGTAATTTGACACCAGCTTCAGCACAACAATCCCCGAACAGCTCCTCCACCTCAGTAGCAGCAGTACAGCTGTGATCGGGGGGAGTCCGGGGGGGAGGAGAAAACGTCGGAAGATGATGAAGGTCCAGCCTGCTGGGACACACCGGGACCAAGGATCCGGGTCTGATACCTGACGGACTGTGGCAGCATATGTTGTTTTAGCAGGATCATCTGGGCGCGGAGTAGTGTTTGCGTTAATTGTTTTTGCTCCTTACGCGGACAGATTATTGGAGGGTTAAAGTTGGTCTGTGCGGAGCCGAGCTCTGCTGCTGCTGGCGCTGCGGATCCAGATGATGCTTCGTGATTCTGCTGAGTTTCTCTCGTCTTTTGTTGGCTCTCTGAGGAGGAAAGACATGCTGAGCTGCACCGAGCTGATCAGATGATTCTGCGCTCTCTCCCCGACAACTCAGAGAGTGTCGGTATGCAGATTTAACTGGAGCCAGTCTGAGATCTGCGCCCTGCCCTGAGAGAGGCTCTGCAGCCGCTGTCTGCACGCAGGTGGACTCCAGGTTTATCACCGACTGTAGAGCACTTTTAGTAATCTGTGGGATTAAAACAGCAAGTCTAGTTACTCAGAATAAGTCTGTGTTCATGTCTCCTGTCAGGGCAATGAATGAAACACCTGCACTAACTGAACATTTCAGTGTAATGGTTTCAGGTGCCCAGGTTTCCCCCTGGTAGGACTTTCTCTGTAGGCCTGTTCCTGCCCTCCCCCCAGCAGCTATGGATCCTCTCCCAGACTACTCTCTGTTCCTAGTTCGCATCCTGGAGGAGCTGGACACCAAGCACAACACCATGTCCTACCAGGACCTGTGCAAGTCCCTGTGTGCCCGCTTCGACCTGGTGCACCTGGCCAAGCTCCGCAGCCTGCTCTTCTACACGGCCTGCCTGGACCCCGCCTTCCCGGCCACTCTCTTCAAGGACAAGATGCGCTGCTCCATGGAGGACCCGCAGTCCAAGAAGCTCATGGTGGCTGCAGACATCGTCACCATGTTTAACCTGATCCAGATGAACGGAGGCATGGCCAAAGACAAGCTCCCCGCTGTGCATCGAGCCAAGTTCCACAAAAACCAGTCTCTCGATCTGTGCAGGTCACCAGACCAGGACCCTTTTAAGTTTCAAGACTGTGACAGAGGGGCCGGATACGAGCACACGAGCCCCAGGGTGGGACACCACCACCACCATCACCACCCTCACTGTCCTCAGCAGCACCCTGCATCTCAGAGCTCCTCTCCCTGTCCCAAACCGCCCGACCTCAACAGCTGCCAGCAGTTTGTTCGCACCTCAGACCCAAACTTCCTCCTGGGGGTCAGCAAAGAGCTGAAATGTAGAGCCGCCTCTCTGGACAAGCTGCAGCACCTGCCCCAGTACTCCAGCGGCAGCCCCCCCTCTCCCCCCTGTGAGATGCAGAGCACCTACTTTCCCATGGACATCGACAGCGAGTCCAACACAGACCAGGAGTCCCTGCAGCACATCAGCCATCCAGAGCCCTTCTCTGTGCACCCCTGCATCCAGAAGAGGAACATCTTCAAGGAGGACTTCCACAACCTGGTGGCCTTCTCACCGCAGGTCTGTGTCACAGGGTGTGTTTGGGTCATTTTGATGTTGTGTTCATCTTTAAGTCAGGTTTCAGATGAACCAAAGTAATTCTCTTAATCATCTTAAAAGTAAAGTAACTGTGTATGTCCTAACAATGCAGGCTATACATTGTAGTGTATCACAGTGAAGAGTAACAAGCAACAACAGATGATTATTTTTGGTTCATTTGGCTATTACTTGGCTCCATCAACATAATGAGTTTCACAATTGGCCTCTAGCTGGACTGTTTCCAGACAACACAAACACTTTCCTCTACTCTCATTAATTTATGTGTTTACTGCTACATAGCTGCCACTGTTAGTTTGTTTCCCTCAGTGAGAGTTGGTAAATAGTTGAGTAATTCTGAGTTAATAAGTGGAACGATGCACAGAGTGAGCAGTCAAAGTAGTGTTGGTCAGCACTCAGAGTGTTTGTTTCAAACAGACAAAGACTTACAAACAGACTCCATGATCATGCACTAATCAGAGTGAGGTGGCTGGGGATTCAGTGCTGTGCTAAAGAGTACCTCATGATTTCTCAGGAGTTGAACTGGCACTTCTGCTGCCAGTAGACTAACCTCACTATGTTGGTTTGTAAATGGTAGAGATGGGTGTATGATAACTTGTGTTGAGTGAACATCACAAATTTACATGGAAGTGTTGGAGGTGTTTTTTGCCGGAGTAGAAGCATCTCATTTAAGTGATGTCCGAAGTTTTGATCATCACCAGTACTTTAAAACCTCTTCAGTCAGCTTGATCGGAAAAAAAAAGTCTCAAATTTGAACTGTGTGATCGGTAAGAAGGCAGGCAACCCCTTCAGCTACTGTACCTCCTTCAGCTACTGTACCTCCTATGTTAGCCTCTGTTATAAATACTTAAATGTGGCATAGATTATGATTTATTTGCAACAAACTCACTCTGAAAAGTGTAAGTGGGCTCATATAATTTGAACTAGAAATGCTTGTATATAGATGGATGGACGTAGACAAATTTACAGATGATTCTTAATCCTCAACACACAAGTTTCTCTTACTGCTATTTCTCAGATAAACTAAAACAGTGAAAGGAGGTGTATTGTTGCTTCAGACCATTATTTAGAGGGCTGTCAATTCTTTGACAAGCTACCTTAAATCACTGTGTTTACTGAATCTCTTTCGGCAACGAGTTAAAAGAAAGCCCTCCAGCTTTATAAGACATCTACAGCAAATCAGTCTCAAAACCCTTCAGCGATTCTCATCTATTAGCATCTAGAAAACAGAGGTGTTATATCTAACTAGGAACAGGTGCAAACTCTTCAGTTGTTCTGGTGTAGCAAGTTTACGTCTGCAATCTATACGCGTGTGCTCTGCCTGCTTTTGCTCTCCATACAAACAATTTCTCCTGTTGATACTGATTGGTTTATTACTCAGAAAACAAGGTACTACAAATGGAGACAAGAACACTTACCATGCTGACAGTCCAGACTTGGTATTCAGATGTAAAATCTGTAGAGATGAGCAGCAAAGCAAAAAGCCGCTGTATTTTTCACATGCTGACTAGTAGCTTGGCTTCACATCCAAAAACAGCACAGAGGAAAACAGTGGAGCCGAATGTGTCTCTCTGAATTATTGTAATATAGAAACATTTAAATATACAAATACAGAATGATTTAAGTAACATTAATTTATCAGTAGTCACTGCTGCAGAAAAACAAGGTTAATATTTCATGTTCTCCATCTTGTGCTTAATCGACTAAAATACTAAGGGGTGGCAGCAGGTCAGCCGCCGAGCAATTCCACTTTGATTGATTTTATGATTCATCCCCTGACCCGTATTTTATTGGAGTATATAAATTATGCATAAACAGTTAGGCAGATACTCTCACAGTGTCTAATTAATGAGCGGCTCCGACATGCTGATGGTCTGTCTGTTATTTACAAAATAGAAGAGAGGATCTATGGATGCCTCAAAAGGGCTAATCTAACAGATTTATTCCCTTATATTACAGTTGGAAAAGAAGTAAAAATATGACTTTTATTAGGATTGATTCTGTAAAAAACAGTATCCCTCTTGCCTACTTGCCCCTTGAGGCTTTTGCAAGTGTATGTTGTACAATTTGAGTTTCTGAAACTGCATTTATGGCAGTAGAATATTTTAGCACATGATGAAAGACTTGTTTTATTAAAGCAGATGTATTTTACACATTGTGACCTTTCATAATGTCAGTCTGGGGGCACAGATAGAGTAGCTTGGCATGATTTGCTGCTCAGAAACTCTTTATCTTATACTTGCATTCATGAAAACCTTGATTTCAGCATGTTTCAGCCTCTGCCTATAACGCCTCATTCCAGTGATGTACAGTTAGACACGGCATGTGGGTGTTACTTTTCACACAGTCATAAAACAAACTGAGAGTTAAGTTTACAGAAAATGTCTGAGGGTAACTCCTGGCAACCAAGTTAGCTCTCTATCATGCATCTGCTATTACATTATTATTGGATCTTATTCCTTACATGGGATTCCACCAGACCTGTGTTTATATTTCTGCCTGATCTTCATAGGCTTTGTTCTTACTTTGGCTTTTTTTGGTATTAAGTGAAAAACAATCTGGCATCTACACAGTGTTTTACTTTGAAAATTAACCAGACGATTTGATGTTTTAATGTATGGCTTCAGCTCCAGATTATTGGTGCTGGAACTGAGCATAAACACGACAAAGCACACTAAGACAATGTTGATTCAACTGTTGATTCAGGGGATTTAATGGGACCGTCTTTGTCAGAGTGCATAAGCAATGTTTAATTATTGACAGAAGCATGTCAGCCTCTGCTATGGCAGGTGGCAACATGCCCCCTCATGGGGCTGTCTACCTGTTGCTCTTCTGTCATATTAAAGTGTTCAAGTCTATAGGTTGTACATCCTACGATGAATACGCCATCACTTTTCCAGCTTTGTACCTTTTGTACCTATAATACTACAGCTTCATTTTTTTTTTTTTTACAAAGGCTTTTACTAAATGTTGTTTAGGATCTATAATCTCCTCCTTGTATACTTGGCAGGCTCTACATTTGCATGCTGGGCTTTGACCTGGAAGTTGAACAGGTTTTGAAACAAACAAGTTTGGACAAAAAGGACATGCCTTATACACTGCATGATGGCACTATGCCGGGGCACTAAGTTGTGTTGTTTCCCTCTATCTAGATCTTTGCTTGTGGTTTATTTTCTCTCAAATGTATGCTACTTGCTGCTAAATGACATGGTAACATTATAGCTCGGTGTGTTTGTTGTGTGTTGCAGGTCATCACTGCAGAGTGTAAGCAGGGTCATGAGGCTTCAGCCGGCTACCACAGGAGGGAGCTGCACAAGCCTGCCACCTTCTTTAACCATAGCTTCGAACTGCCCTACAGTAACCCCTACACAGAGCCCACACTCAACTCCCCTCTTCGGGACAGGCAGAGAGTGAAGCATGAGAGCCTGGATGACCTGCAGGCATCCACCTACTTTGGCCCGACGACCATCTCTGAGTGCGTCAGCAACAGGAAGCTGAGTCCCAGAGCAGGGAAGCAGCCAGCATGGCCAGTGAAGAGTCTCAGTCTGAACACAGAGGAGGGGCCTCCAGACTTTGAGAGATCCTTCATGAATGGAAAACCCCTCAAAGAAAACCTCCATCATAATATCAGCATCATCAGTACAGATGAGAAGCTTTTTCAGAGCCCAAAGGACAAGGTGGTAGCTTCTCCGTCTAGCTTTGCAAAGAAAACAAATGGATTAAAATCCAAGGATGTAGCACTGATGGCCAGTGGACCCATAGGTTTGGACAAAAGAGAAGCAGCAAAAAGGTTCAGGGACAAAAACCTGAAGAGTCAGTCGTTTCAGGGTGTAGACACTTCCTCCAGTGTGGGAACTCAAACAGAGCAGGCCGAGCAGAAGAAGGTGAAGGATTTCAGAGACAGGCCGGCCTTCAAACAGTCTGATGAAGACTCTGAGCATGTCAGTGACGACATCAGCGACATCTTTCGTTTTCTGGATGATATGAGTGTTTGTGATTCTCTGGGCGTTGTTCAGCCCTCGTGCTACAACAGTAACGGATCTCTGTCTCAGGTTACACTCAAGTCTGAAGGCGACAGCTCCCCCGAACGCAACACGGTTAAACTAGCCAAATCCAAGCTGGACCGCCTCTTCCATTCACTGGAAAACACAGACGATGAACTCAAGTCGAGTGTGTGCAAGCTGGTGATGAGGATCGGTGAGATTGAGAAGAAGCTGGAGTCTCTGTCGGGGGTCCGCAGTGAGATTTCCCAAGTCCTCTCCAAACTCAACAAGCTGGATGAGAAGATCCAAGAGCCTGAGGTTAATGGGAGACATGGAGAGCCAACATCATCCAACGCAACCCCTGACAAGCTGCAGCCTCATCCACTTCCCAATGCCAACCTGTCCCCTCGTGTTTTCCAGTGTCACACCACCGGACACAACCCCAAAACGGACAACAGTCCCCCGGGGGAGTGGTGCTGCTCTGATGGAAGTAACAATGACAGCCTGAGGATAAAGGCGCTGAAGAAGAGCATGTTCACCAGGAGGTCATCCCGCTCGCTCAACGAGGACAACAGCGCCACTGAGTCAAAGGTCGCCAGCATCACTAGCTCTCCACGGGACTGGAGGACGGTGTCCTACTCCTGCCATCCTGCAGATGAAGGCAAGGACAAGGACCGAGAGAGAGACAGCAAGGACAGACACAGGAAGGCCAAAGAGGTAAGGACATAGTTTTATTCATATTTCGTTTATTTGATCGGAACATCATTCGTAGTTGAATTATAAATATTACACAAGAGATGAAACTAGCTAACACGTGCGAGTGAGCCACAAGGTTTTTATTTTTTTGTAACTTAGAAAAACATCTGTCTGCCAAAGTCATAATCAAACTGACACTAAATATTGTTGTAGAGGATGTTCAGATTTAAAAAAAAACAGTCCCTCTAAGTCCAGGGTTGGTAGCTCCAACATGGCTCCAGATTTTAACACAACCTCTAGTAGCACAAACACGAAAGTTTAACAACCATTTAAATGAGCATCTACACCACTGTTGGAAAAAGTGAACAGGACTTCTGCAGGAGTATTTGAGGGCTTGTTAATTTGTTATTATACTTGCTAATTTTTCAGGGACAGCCTTGTTTGAGCAGGTGAAGAGGTCGTCTGCATAAATAAATGTTGGCTTTTGTCCTCTTCTCTCCTTCTCAGAGTTTTGCAGTCGACTCAGCTACTGCTCTTGTGCTCTTGGTTGAATTTTCCTGGTTAGTAACTCAGGCATGCTCTTACCAGCTTCACTGTGTGGGTTCAAGGATAGCATTTAACATTTTATATCCATGTTATGTTGTCCATTCAGTTCGCTTACTAATAGAAACTAATGGTTTTGCCTCCGTCTCTACGACATAAGTAAGATGTACTGGGACTCTTTCCATGACGATTTGATATGCCGTGTGTTTTGTTTTCCTCTGCTCTTGTTATGCAGAGTTTATAACTGACCAAGCAGAGTAAAGATTTTAACACGGTTGGCTGATTAGGATTAAATTCGGGTAATAAATGCTATTCCTGTTGGCCTTCCTGTCAAACTTTTGTATCTGCGCCCCTGATGTTGTCACATAACATCTTTAAACAACTCAGTGAACGTTTTCATTTGCTGACATCTTTATTAAATCTTAATAATCTGTGAACATTTTCTTTTTAACTTGATGGAGGAACTGAGAGTGAAATCTTATCGCTTTCTTATCATTTTTCTGTATCTTTCATTCATCATAAAGTATTTGATTGCCTGAGCCAGATATCAACAGTTGATAATAACAAACCATGACTTGAAAGTCATAAAACCTCAGAGGCTTTTTGGGTGAATCTGATGTGATTATGAAAGACTTTGATTTGCATCCAGCGCAGCAGCTGTGTGGACAGACAGCAGCAGATTCCAGCGTTGAAACTGGGCTCAGATGTAAAAAGAGCTGTTTTTATGCCATGTGGCTCTTTGTCCCACATGACTCCCATCACAGCCAGAAGATGTGTTCACAGGCAGGAATTAATCCTGACAAATTAGGGAGACTAAAAGGACAGGATGTCTCCGGGTGTTTGAATGCAGCTGTTTGCTTCCAAAAATGTAAAGACTCTCTAGAAACCAAAGATCGTGATGCTGTATGATGAAAATAAATCCCATAGAAGACCATTTTAGAGCTTTTTTTCTTTCACTAAATATTCCTTTTATTAGATTTGTAATTTTCAGTTTAGTCTTTTAGTCTTATATCGTGTATAAGGGGATATTTATCTTTGCATGATACAAAAACACTCAAAATGACCCACAAACTATTCTGAATTTATTTACACATTGATTTTCATACTTTAACACTTTGGACACACATCTCCCAGAAACATCTGCAAGTAGATGAATGTTTTCCGTCCTGTTACCATAAATCCTACATTAAAACAACAATTGTCAGCGTATTAATCTTTTTGCAGCTTCCTTTTCCTCCTCTTTTGCAGCTCCTTCCTCCTCCTTCTTCTTTGGTGTTTTCATGATGTTATTTCATTATGCATGATGAAAAATGTAGTGGCAATGTGTAAGCAGCTGAATATGTGATAACCTGGCAGCAGCAGCAGATTGTTGTTTACATAACCATCTTTAAAATTACTCATATAAAACAAACCATGGAAATAGAGAGTAGGTTGATATTAGTTACATAAGCTTGAGTTTTCTGCACACTTCAACATAAACATGTGTAAAGATAATGACCTATTAGCACATTAACCACCTTATCTTTCCTGATCATATTCATGTACTGATGGTAAAGGCTGCTATAACAGGGGTCCATCAGTGTAACCAATCCATTTACACCCAATTACATTAAGTACCTCAGAATGTGTAACTTGGGGCAGTTTTTGGGTCTAGTGTCTTGCTCATGCTTCTTCTTCTTCTTCTTCTACTTCTTCTTCTTCTTCAACTTCATCTGTCATATCATCCTTAAGCTAAGATTTAACCACAAACCTTCCAAAGAAGACACAACACACTTAGCCACTGAGATAGGGCCACACAAGGAAAACTAATGACAGCAAGGTTGAATAAAAAGTAAAAGAGTGGATAGATGAGAGGAGGGATTAGCCGTTTATGCGTAACGCTGTGCCGCTTTGCACCTACCTTTTCGACATGCTAAATATAGCCGCAAAAACACAGAGCGCAATCAGTTTCAGGGTTTGATAGATCACGTTACGGGTGCTAAATTATTCCATTAGCATTTCCTACTCCCAGTATTTTGTGCGCTCTGATAATCTGCATATATTCTGCATATTCATGAAGGCAAACGCGCTAAATGGATTGCGCGTGCTGTTTCAATCCTCAGTGTACCTGGTTAGTAGATGACTTTTGCGCCTGCAATCAAGTTTGCACATGTTTTTTTAAAAACAAACCTTTAGTAATTCAGACCCATAATGATTACCTCCAACTCTGCAAGTAGTTGGTAAATTCATTTGTTGAAAACACACAGAACTGACTGTATACAGGCAAAAGACCAATGGTCAAATACAGAACAAACCTTGTCAAACACATTTCTTACAAGTGCTCTTCCAACAAGGGCCCCTGTGTCTTCAAAAAAAATACTGCAATGGCACCAAAACCTAATTTAGGATCTCTAAATAGAATAAACTGGTTATATACTCTGCCCTATTGCTGTAAATGTCCTCTTTACTGTAGCTGATTTACTTTACAGCATGGCTGTTGTTTCAGCGTGTTTCATGACTGTAAATCTGTGGACATGTTTAAACCCACCCTCTGGATCATTACAGCTTTTTTACAGCTGTTATCAGGACATTCAGCGCCCCAGAAAAAACAACAGTTGTTCTAATGGAAATTAAATGTTAATGTAAATGTAGTCGCTGAGGTCGCCCTAAGGCTGTAAAGACGAGAATGATTTTTAAAAAAAAAAGAAGGAAAATATAATGGATGGATTAGATATTCCTGACACATTCATGAATATAGTCTTCACATCATTCACTCTGTGTCTGCAGCTGCTGTTAGACACAACCTGCTGCTGAAGTACATGTGTATAGACTCCCAAATAGGTGCTTGACAGGTGTAACAGAGGCAGCATTAAACTACATGAGCACAATCCTTCACAGGATGATGGTTTATGGGGTTATATCAGAGTCTTATCCAGCTCTTGTTCCAAAATGATAGAGCCTGCAGCAAACGTTCGACCTTAACACTTTCCTATTAAAAAACGCGTTTTAGATATCCGTAATAGCATTTCTCTGGGTCACGTAGCTGCAATTATTATTTTGTATTTGCAAATTCCAAAATGCTAATTCATTTCAAATGTAAAGGTAAAAATCTGAATACCTCAAAAGCATCTTGACTAGTGGAAACTGGATTTTGATATCTGAAATTGGACTTTTTCCCTGGAGGAAATCTATTTGAGATTTGCAAGATGCTCATTTTGGATAGGAAGAGAGACGGTGTGAATATCTGAAACTGAAAGCTAAAATATGAACAGCAAAGGTTCTGTCATTTCTCCAAGAAGAAATGTCATTACTGATATCTTAAATGCTCACTTTTAATGAAATTGAATTACAGATATCTGTAATAAATATCTCCTCTGCTTATGTGAAAACTGCTCACCAGCCCTGGATATTCCTCATCTGCTCTGAGTTACATTTTTCACCTGTGCTCAACACTACAGGTCATTAAATCAGCGTCTAATGCTGAAAAATTGAGGATGAGCTGAATAATAGAGCAGAGTTTGTAAAGGTCAGCTCTATAGACGAACAGTGTGTGAAGCTCAGACCTACCAACATAAACCCCAGTGATATCAGGGGACATTATTCTTTATGAATGCTCTTATCCTGACTGCTCATCATCAGTTTAGATTTTATCATCTCGTATTATTATCCTAATATATTCCAGTGATATGCTTTTAAGCTGTCACACTGAAAAAGCACCGTTTTCTTACATTTTTTATAACGTTTGGAGAGTCCATCTCATCGACGGTAGAGCAGAGAAGGGTGTAGCTTAGAGGAAAAAATGAGAGAAACTCCAAGATCTTCTCACAATCTTAATAATCTCCATGTTGATTTGATGAAGTGATCATATCTGGAGGAGAGATGGATGTGCACTGCTATCCTGGCTGACAGGTCACCATGGTGATAACTTGTCAATGCCAGGTATCGCTTATTGAAATCCTCCCCTGCTCTCTGGTCTCTATGACTATAAATGGAACCACAATTTACTAAATTAACATCATGCTGCATCGGAGAGGACTTGAATATTGAGACCATAAACTCATTATAGGAAGATGTTCACTAAGGAATAAATCATCTCAGAGGCAGGGCATGTGCCATATGATTAGATACAATCGGACTGCTATTTATGGCCAAGAAGTCGCCCCCTGCTGGTCATCAATAGAATGCAGGTTTTATGCAATTTAGAGCCATGTTTTGTTGTGAAAGGTGGGGTAGGCAGGATCTGAGGAAGTGCCAGTTTTTGGGAGAAATCTTGAATGTTAACACTACCCCTCCAAACCAGTTTTCCCCTCAGCTCCTCCTCTCCCGTCCGTCTCTGCTCCAGCAAGCCCCGCCCACAAACAGACGCTCGCCCTCGCTCATATCATTTCAATTAAATTCAGATATAATGCAGATAAATACTTCAGATAATTACAGATGGGGCCCAATCAAAGTGAAAGTAACCAGCATTGGTGCTACTGTAGATGCCAACAGACTACCAGCAAAACAGTTTAGTGGCGCTATGACACTTCAGTTACACTTGGCTTACTTTGTTAAAGCGGTTTACCTGTCTAGCAGAAAGGTTACGGGGTCTTCAAAGCATCCCCCATCATTATTAACCCAGCTTTTAGCTCTTGTCCGGTCTACCTCCTTTTTAAGTGCCCGTTATTCCACCAGAGTCTCTGGTATTTATTTCGTTTTCTTGCTTGTGTTGAAAGTCATGGCTAAAGGAGGATTCAAATTTCTGTACTTTCTGGTTGGTTTCCACTGTCTGATATTGTAGCACGCTAACTTTGTTTGGGCTCCTGAACGACACGGGGGAGCAGCGTCCGCCTCACAACCAATCAGGATGGGTAAGGTGGGGAATGGCTTTGTTTACAGTCAGAAAGAGCGGAGCGCTCTGAAATTTTAGAATATTGACCACCCAGACATAACAAAACACAGCGATATCTTTATATTACCAAATGTCATCAATGACTAATAACTATTGACTGATATTAAAAGCTTTTTTGTGTATACACCACAAAAAAAGATACTTCTTTAATGGATTCCTGCCTACCCCACCTTTAATTGTCATAAGATCAAAAATGATAAGGATGAAAAAGCTGGTTTATACAGCGGCGGGTATATACAGCCAACTGTGATGGCTAAATGCCTCTAATCAACACAAAGATGTAATTTTTTGGCTACGCACTGCGTAACTGCTTCAATGACATTATTTTATTTTAATGTATTTCTTTGATTTGGCTCAAATAGTTATTCCAACACTGACAGGAACCGTTTTTATTCAGTGTGTAGCTTTTTAGTGAAGGTTGAATCTTAGTCTTGTGAGTCTTGGCAGCCGGTTGTTGTTTGAATCATCCTGTTAAAACAGATCTTAATCAATGATGTTAATATTTCCCAGACCAAATGAATCATCATATCATTCTGAAGAAGCCTTGACAGATATCCACTTTAAAAGACAAGAAATTCCCTTTTGAGTTGGCTTTATTTTACCGATGAAACATAGAAAAATCAGCAGCTTTGAAAAACTGTAAACAAGCCTACTCAAATTTATTTGCAAAATATTTGGCCAAATGTTCTGACTTAATCACTCAAATACACCAGTAAATCTGCACCTTAAATAAAATGTTGGTGAGCTGGTTTTTGGTGTCCTGTACTAAAAAAGGTAGGGGTGAAGAATCACAAATGAAGTTGTTGGTGCCCTGGGATCCGTCCTGATTTTCTCATCACTGTCCTTCAAAAATTGATTAAACTGGCTGAATCAGCAGTGCTAACTACATCTGGGTTGCCTAATGCACACAGGGTGCTCTAAATCTGACTGGCTGCTGTCAAACACAGTGCTCCACAACTCTGGGCAGCTCTGTTTACCATGGGACTTTTCTAGGATGTTATCAGTCACTCACTGTCTTAAGAGTGAATTTCATTCATGTTCCTGTTCATGAGTAACAAATTAAGGGGTTGAATATAACACTATATGAGCACTTTCATGCCCAACACTGATCTCAATTATGGTCATAAGGATGTGTGGAATAATGAATCGTCAACAGGTAGTTGTGCATATAGAAACCCTAACAAGGTGGGCTTGATCAGGGTCTAGTCTCACACTGTGGGGCTACTAATCTACATTACCACCTGCTCACTATACATAATCCCACAAAATACCCAGCAATCAGCTCAAGCAACAAATACCTAAATCTAAAATATTGATGAGTTGATTTTAATGGTTTAAAAAGTAGCATATATGGTCAGTGATGTTGCTATGGCAACAGATTCTCATTAGCCCCTCAGCCAAGATTTCAAATTAAAAAAGAGGGCTGCTTATATTCTAAGGTGCTTTTCCTGAACATAAATAAATCCTGGAGTCTAAATCTATCAGAGTCACATATTTGACATCAGAAAACAGTCTTGGATTTATACTAGTACTTCTAAATGACCTACAAACACAAACCATACAGACTGTACATCTCTATATTGTAAGTGTCGATGCATAAAACTGCTTCTGCAAGTTGGTGGTTTTGCATAGAATAATTTCTATGCATCGGAAACTTCATCGATTCTCATTAAGGGATATTTTTCTCAAAAGAAGATAGGATTAAAGTTTGAGTTGAAAAGATACGACCCAACCAAGCACAGGATAAAAAGGATAAAGGGCTGAGATGCATAGCTTTGTCCATCTGCGGTCCTAAAAATCAAAACACAACCAGAGTTCATTAGAAGAGCTAACTTCAGGTAAATCTGATGAGGTTGGTAAAGTAATTGCTGAGATGGCTGCTTCAGGACCCCCAGCTGGTATTAATCTTTTTTAAACTGTCCTCATGGAAGAAACATGACCTGAGAATATCTTTAAGTGAGAAATCCTGCCTCCTCAGTCGGAGGCTGCTATCCCCATGTCCAATACCAACATTTAGCCACACACTGCAGCACCAGTGTGACAGCTGAGGATGTGTTTACCTGCCATCTCATCTAATGTGTTTATGTGCACTCAAGTAATCAGATTATTTTCCACTGGAGGAAACTGATAACTACATTTACATCCTGGGAGGATGCAGATTATTGTGACTGTGGACCCGGCTGAAAATCTCATAATCCATTTACATGCTGCAATGTGCAATTAGTCTAAAGCCTCAGTGTGCAGGCTGGTGGTCAGTAATTAGATTATCGTCCCACCATGTACCGTGTCTGTGAGTTTAAAGACATTTATTTGTGTAACACCATAATAATTCTGATGACTGGACGTTGCTGTTTTCATTATCAATAACTACTTTTTCTGTCGGGGCGGGTATCTGCTCTGTGGAAAACTCACTGTACTATACCAGTACCAAAAATAAAGTGTCCGGCTGAACTCAAAGACTACAGACCAGTGGCCTTTACCTCAGACATCATGAAAACCCTTGAGCAGCTGATTCTACGCCTACTGTACTATTGAATTTCCCTTCAGGGATCAATAAAATAAAGTTTTTCTCATCTCAACTTACTGAGGCCTGAGGTCAAAGACAAACTGCAGTTTGCATACAAAGAACACATTGAAGTGAATGATGCTGTCCTCTACATGCTTCACCTTGCACTGTCTCAGCTGGAGGAACCTGGGGTTTATGTGAAGATGTAAACATCAGACTTTAAATACAGCACTTGAGTCCTGCCACATCCAGAAATACTCAGATGACACCGCTATTGTGGCATGTATCACAAATGGACAAGAAGCTGAATACAGGGATCTGATAAGAGCCTCCTCCTCAACACCTCAATGACAAAGGAGATGATTATAGACTTCCGTAGATTTAAACCCACTCTTCAGCCGGTGAACACCTGTGGAGTGGACATCTGAGTGGTGTCACTGTATATAAATATCTAGAACGTCTGGCTAATAAGTTGAACTGGTCTAAGAATATAGACTTCATCTACAGAAAGGGGCAGAGCCGCCTCTTTTGCCTGAGAAGACTCCGATCAATAGACATCTGTGGTAAGACGCTGCAGATGTTTTATCAGTCTGTGGTGTCTACAGTGTTCTGTTCTACGCTGCAGTCTGCTGGGGAGGAAGCATCAAACACAAAGATGCAAGACGTCTGAACAAACTGGTGAAAAAGGCTGGTTCTGTGGTTGAATTCAAGCTGGACTTACTGGAGGATGTGGTGGAGAGATGTACACTAGATGTACACTGAGGAAGGTGGAGGCTATTCTAAAGAACATGGACCTCTTCATAACAATTTGTGTAGCAGACGAAGACCAGTTTTTCCTGTAAAAACACGTCTTTTATTACACTCCTTTATTCTTCTTTGTGCTGTGGCATTGAAGATAGTACTAGACTTGTCTTAATTTGACCATGCTGATGTAGAGTTAGGGTTAGGTCATGGAGGCTGAGTTCCGCCTTTGTAAGAAATTGTTTTACAACATAAATTACAGCCAACTTCACTTTATCACTTTCTTTAGGTCTGGTAAAATGTAATAATAATATTAATAATACATTTTATTTGTATAGCGCTTTTACAGGAGCTCAAAGACACTTTACAATACAGTAGGCAAAATTAATAGTAACAAGCTAAAAACAAGGTAAAATCAAATAAAAAGAATTAAAGGGATAAAAGAATACAGGGAGGGGCAGATGAAAGAGGTGGGATAATGGTGAGTCGGGGGTGGGGGGCAGATTTGGTTTTGGCTGGAGGTGACAGGAGGTTTGCATCAGCTGAGCGGAGGGGGCGGTTCGGGGTGTGGCGGACGTTGAGGTCAGACAGGTAGGGGGTGCCAGGTCGTGGAGGGACTTAAAGGTGAGGAGGAGGATCTTGAATTGTATTCGGTAGGCAACAGGGAGCCAGTGGAGTTGACGGAGGACTGGGGTGATGTGGTCGTATGGGCGGGTGCGGGTGAGAAGTCTGGTGGCAGAGTTCTGAATGTGTTGAAGTTTGTTGAGGGTGGTGGAGGGGAGACCGTAGAAGAGGCTTTTGCAGTAGTCCAGTCTGGTAGTGATGATAGTGATGAAAAATGTAGACACACTTTGGACCTTTTTGCATATTCAACCATCATTGGAAGCATCTGACGAGTAGAGTGGCAGAGTGTAGTTTAATGCCTGTAAACTTGATGAGACTGTTAATTCATTAATGTGCACTGATTTGATTATCATGACATGACTGAACTCAAAGTACATCATTACTTCATGGGACGGTGGGGCTTGATAGCTGACCTATGATGGTATAAAACCACAGGACTCTCAGACAGAGTTTTGTTTTCCGCTGCAGTGAATCAGAGCGAGGTTCACTGATACAGAGACTATCATCCCATATGTACCCATCATTCTTTGTGCTCTGCTTGCTGCCTCAGCCAAAATTAAAGTACAAGGAACAGAGAGGCACTTCTCAAATTGTAGAGGCTCCAATGGCTTTTAAATTTGACATCTAACAGGTCAACATACAGCAAGATAATTTTATTTACTAAACCTACTTCTGCTGATGCATTAATAATGATAATATCAAACAATTCTATTAGTTTTTTCTTAATCTGGACAAATCTGACAAGTCAAGGTTACTTACATTTGAAGTTGCTTGTCGAAGTTCCATTATTTTTCATTAAAACAGTTTCAAGTCTGTGTTGATAATGTCAACTGTCAGCAATAGTCTCACAACATGCCATTGTCATGTTGGCAGTGTTGGTAGTGAGTGAATGTGGACTGAATCTGTGAATGTGAGGTGTCATGTGAAAGAGCTTTGAGTGTCCAGAAGACTAGAGACAGAGCTTTATAAACAGTCCATTTACCATTTGAGGCAGAGGAGTGCAATGTCCAATCAATGTGCAGTCATTCCTGGATAACGTTGATTACTCACTGATGTGCAGTGACCCGTGGATCCCTGAACAGCAGCTACACTTTTGAGGAGCACTAATCTGTTTGCTGTCTCTGTTTCATACAGGTCCTGTGTGCATGATCGTTTTTCTAGTAAGGGAAGACTGGAGGATGGTTTTTGGACTCAAGGCAGTTTTGGCTGACAGGCTGTCAGTTGTGGACCAATTTGCAAGAGCTGTAGTTTCGGATGTAGTTTCATTCACAGGTCTTGAACTCAGTGTCAGGTCATACAGGTCTCTCTATCTCTCTCCCTCAGAGCTTCTTGTTTCTGTCATTTCTTCCTGAGTGCTGTGCATTTTGAGCTTTAAGGTTAAATATTACAAAGAGATTTACACAGCTGTCTCTGTACCTGTCTTTCAGCCTGTTCCAGCTCTGCCAAAAATAGAAAACAGGCATCATATAATAAACGAGAAACTGGACGCTATCTTCGCACAATCCTGGGAGGAACGTCTTCTCTGACATATCTTGGAGACGAAAACATGAATAAACACAGGTGGTACAGACAGGTGGGATTAGTTTCAGTTGTGGTATATAATACTGAATGATTATAAAATATTGTCTTTGTACAGACGAGTTTTGTTTGAGTCTTTTTTTAGTGATGGTGAAAAAGAAAAAGAATGACAAAACAGTGGCAAGGAAGAGGAGAGCTAAAAACTTGAAGTCAACTTTTCACTCAGTGTGGGGTGTTCAGGAGTGTTTGAAAAGTGAGGTGCCAAACTAAATTTAAGTGGTCTATTTTATCTCGCTTCATGATCGGTGGAAATATTTGGTAAGAACAGCTCATTTGTGTGAGCCTACAGAGTGAACAGCCCAAACCGAGAGTGTAATGAACATGGAGAGAGTTGTAGGAGCTCTTCATCGGTATACTCTGGCTCAAATTAATACAGTGTGCCATCGTATTCAAAGGCCTCATCCACACTGTCAAAATCAGGCAAATATTCAACCAAAAACGCTGTCAAACAAGCTTTGCTCCAGTCCTGTTGCGCTCTTACTCTCCACTTTCCACTATCTTATCATCCTGAAAAAGAAGATAGGCTTAAAAAAAAAAAACTCCTCCTCCTGTTGGCAAATAACAAACGTCTTTATTTATAGCTGCCATCTGTGGAGAGTCTTTTAGCTTGTGTTTCATGATTTCAATCAGCGCGAGGGAAACACACCACCTTACAACTAGTGTTGGTTAACAAACACAGATGACACACATAAAAGTGAGTGACTCAACATGACAAGCACTCGCCGACCCATTTAAAGACACCATGCACAAGTGAGCATTAAAATCTGGCAGGTTATGAGCACATGAGCACTAATTAAAGAGACTGCATGGTTTAACATTATATTACAAAGACGAGGCCACTGGTTTTATCCTCTGAAACTGCAGGGAAGTTTTTAACCTTAATGCTCTGTAATGGCTGCACCCACGGTGTCACAGATTAGAGATGATAACATGAAGAGTTAAGGCTCGCATAACAATGGATGGGCCTCAGCTGCCACAGTCAGCCTCTCTGCCAACCGACTGAAGCATCAACAAACCCACCAGCTGGAACTCCGAGATGAGCCTGCTATTTAGGGCATGTTCAAAAACCACGCTCTGGCCTGTTCCCCTCGCTCTCCCTGTCAGAAAACTTGTGCCTCATTTTCATGCTTTTACACGGGAGATTTTACGCTGTACGCCAAAAATAATAAGAGAACTTCTCATGTTTAGTGGGACAGATTATTTCACTCTGTGGCAAATTTCCTTGCTGTGGGAGAATGATTTGTGGTGATTTATTTGACACGGTCATTCTTTAGCCCTCAAGACTGTACTCTGGTTATTATTATTATTATTATGTGTAAGTAACCACAGTTATCTGACTTAACCGACTTCTGCTTACACTCTGAAATCTGTTTGCCAGTGATAAGTCCAAACCTTTTCATGTTTTCCCAGCTGTTTTCAGACGATTTGGATTTCTCAGTTGGAGAAGAAAACTTTCCTCATGGTGAACTAATAAGAATAACAGCCTCCCCCTCTCAGTAAGTGAAATGGTTCAGTCCTGCTCTGAAACTTTGTATTAGCACTTCTACCTGGCAGTGAGTGAGGAGTGAAGGGCGCACAGTGCAACATAGTCTTCAGTGTATCTTCTACTTTCTAACTAAGGTGGGTCTCTGACTGCTAAAATGATTACAGTGCCATTTAGCAGATGCTTTTGTCTGAAGTGACATACATTTAAAAGAAAGAAAGAATAACACAAATAATGATCTAGATAGAAGCAAACAAAACCCCAAATGACAAAAATTGCTACAAGTTGGCACAATCATCATCAGGTGCTCCCAGTGTAGAAATGTTCATAAAGAGCTGGGCAAAGTGTCTCCGAAGTAGAAAGAGACGTGTTTCAGTCATTCTACCTCTGGGAAAACAGAGAGGAAGAGTCTGGCAAGTGACTTCGGGCCATGTTGTGTTAGGAGCACCAGACGCCTTTCATTGGCAGAGAATAATGGGTGGGAGGGAGTTGTTTAGAACTGCATAAGGGACTGCAGACAGGTAGGAGCTGATTTGGTTGCTGTTGTTGCCAAGACGTAGGGCTTTGTATTTGATGCAAGCTGCTACTGGAAGCCAGTAAAGATAGACAAACCGTGGAGTGACGTGCTGCTTAGGGTTGGTTGAAAAAACACAGCAGCTAAAACAAGGGGCTTTCTTCTCATGCCTTGCCGGCGGCGTGGCGTAAGTCAGGTCCGCCACGGGGACAAGGCATGCCCAAGCACATTTTGGTATTTTGGTGAGCGGCGCAGCCCAGTATAAGTATCCCCCCTCCCTAACTCAGCTCCTCCCAGTGGCATAAGTTGTAGAGAGGGAGGGGATAAGGCGTGGAGTGGATTTAACACAGCCGAGACCTGTTTTCGCCAATCACATCAGCTCCTCTCCTCACCTTTAAATCACCACCAGCGAGGCGTGTTACAATTTGTTACCCTTCAACAAATGTCAAGCTGCGGAGGGCGTCCTTCACACTCTCGCATCTGAGCACAGATGGATTTGGTGTGTGTAATGTTGGACCCACTAGTAAGACAAACACCCTTTTCCACAAATAAAGACACTCACATAAAGTTGCTCATATTCAAACCTCATGTGACAAAGGTGGGTTGTGCGCACAGATCACAACATAAATCCCAATAATGGCATTAAAATCAGAACCATCTGTGCGTAAATGACGCATCGGGCTCCGCGGCCTGGCTCTTTCTTTCATAGATGTTGGCATATAAAATAAATTTAGCTCACAAAACTGAATATTGTAATATTCGTATGTCGGCTTAAAGTAGATAACTCATCTGATCACTGAAACAAATCATCTGTTCAGCCGCTGCAGGACGGAGAGAGGACACGGAGACGTGTCCAGGTCAAGCTGTGCGAGAAATAAGAGGAAGAGGAAGAAAGAAAAGGAGGGAGACAAATTACATATCTTGTTAACTTTATCGTGTGTTTATTTACTAGATATTTAATTTAATTTAATGCGGTTTCAGCTGTGTTGATTCAGTCAACTTGAGTGTCCAAATGCACTCATCAGATCAGATATAGATCAGAATATATCTATATGGATCTAAATGTATGTGCTGACTCAGAATATTGATTGTTGTCGATTATTTATTGCACTGAAATGTGCCTGACACTGTGGAAACCTGTCGGTGAGGCATCGGTGATATATGCGCACTACGGTCTACCGAAATACCACTAGACCTCTGCGCTCCGCCTGCACTGAAAGCTGACCAGGTTTGAATCGGCGAGCTTTCAGCGCACTTTCTATGTCGCCGGTGAGCACGAAAATGTCACTGCGGCAGCTGATTCTGTCGACACCTCCCCCTGCTGAGCAACCACGCCCAGCTTGGCGGACCTCGGTGCGCCTCAGTCCACAAAAATACCAAACTGGCTGTATGCCGGGCTCCGCCAGATGAAAATACCACTGCGCAGGGTCTGCCACCCTCCACCGCACCGCCAGCAGGCACAAAATTAGGGCCCCAAGTGTTCTAGACAGAGGCTGAAGTAATAATATTATAATACACTAGAATCTGTAATTTTAGGCTGTTTCTGATCTGGAAATCATGAAAATATCAAAGAGGTATAAGAGAGGAAGAATCGAGTCTGAAAAAAAATTTATAACACTAACTCTTTAACACATCCTCCATTGTTGTTGACAAAGACATAATCATAAATTAAAATGTTACACAGCTGCGGTTGAAGGTATCTTAATCACATGATCTTAACATCATTCAAAGGTATAATATCAGACAGTGAATGTAAGTATAGAGCAATTACATATGAAGGAATATCTGTTATATTGCAGAAACATAATCATTCTCATGATGGTTCCTGTAACCAATCAACAGCTGCAATTTATTGTCACATACAAGTAAAATCTGAAAATTATGCTTTTTCAAATGGATGTTTATTTATTCAGCCCATATTTTCTTTCATCATTTTTTTTATTTGTTTGATTGTAATGATTTCACGCAGCTCCTTGATCAGCATGCTAAACACCCGGCAATGAACAAAAACACAATCAGGAGGTCACTCAGTGAGGGGCACAATTACCAACAATTACAATAACCTTGATTTCTTTCTGAAAAATATCCTCAGTCTTCTGTGTATGATCATTTAACTTTAAGTTTACACTTTCTTTTCCCTTACATACTATATCATGAGTATGACATTTAAAGGTAGGGTTGGTAATCACAGCAAACTAGCATGAATTTGAATGTACCATCTCATCAGGACTTTGTCTAGCCGTTCCCCCCTCCTCTCAGAGCTCCCCCACAACAACGCCACCGCTCACATGCATGAGCACTGCTGTCTGCTGATTCAAAACCACAGACTTAAAACTTTGGGACTTTAGATTGGGAAGTCTTTGCACAGCAGGGACAAAGTAGGTAATGATGGCATCGGGGTGACCACATAACTAGCACCATGGCTAAATACTTGCTCAAGATAAAAATCGCCCTGAAACAAACCCTCAACGTACCTTTTCAACAAAAAATAAGCTTCAGTTCTCTCCATCGCTGAAAAGCTGTCCTGATGTTTACTTTTGTTTTCGCCCTTGCTTTCTCCAAGCTCTGTCTTGCTTCGGCCTTTTCTGCCTCCACCTTTATTTTTGCTCTTTTTTTGCAGGAGGAGCGGTCACCATTAATCTAGGTATAGATAGTCTCTCTGCCATTCACCAGCGTAACTGTAGCCCTCTCAGCTAAACTATGCACATTGAATCAGGGCCAGTGCCCACCGGCGACGTGGAGGCGCGGGAGGCGAGCTGTAGATAGTGGCTATGTTTCGCCCTTTTTTAAGAACACATCATGTATTGATTGCCATTGGAACATAAAGATCATAAAGACCAACCCTACCTTTAAACTATTAAACTTATCAGTGTTGAGTTTTACTGTGTGCAGATTATTTTATCCATGTCAACACAATGTAATATTTTTTATGGTAGCATAGTTTTAAGTAGTGAAGAGGTGGAGGTCAGTCTCATATATCTTCATGCATCCCAAAAGCCTTTGTGGTGCCTCTGCTCCAACAATGGCTCCATTATGCTTTTAGTTTAAAAACATATTTTAAAAAGGTTCAGAGAAAGTAAAAAGCTGTGATTCTGTGCAAGAATATTTGAGCAAGTGTAATGCTCTTTTTAAAAATTATAGATCGGTGTCACGTGCATCTTATTGGGTGTGGAAATACTTCTCTTTACCTCTATGAGCATAAAAGAGCACAGATACATATTGTAATTTTGTCAACTCTGCCTCATTTTGAGCTGTAAAGCAGACATAATTGTGCCTACAATTCAGCTCTGAGATTGATTTTGGGTTCTTAGTCAACATGCTTGCTGGCATTTCTGATTATTTCTTAATGATGGGTTGATTCATAGTGAATCTGACTGTCTGTTTGCAGACTGAGACAGAGGAGGTAAACTGGTGTCGGATGGTGAATGTGAAGCTGGAGATGCTTTTCATGGCAGAATAATGACTGTTTATTATTCATGAATGTTCTGCTCTGTGAAGCTCCCGTATCACAGTAGAGTTTCTGTAAAACTCCACTGCACAGCTGATGCATGACCACAGACTGCTTACTGCAATCAGAGGCCTCTTTAACGCTACTGTTCATAAAGACAAACAGGTTTATTCCTCCTTTATTGAGCCTGCAGACACATGTTTCTCCCTGTGGTTGGTATTGATGGAAGCTGCTTCGAAGAGCAGAGGGATCTCTACAATCAATACTCTGTCGGCAGAAATGCTTTATTCTTTATTCACCGCTCTGTGTGCTCAGTTGAAAGAATGATATTTCATCAGAGAGAGAGAGGTGTGTAGAAAAACTGCTCTCTGAATGAATAACTGTGATCGTGGAGTGATGTTCTTCAGATCAGATCATGGACATAGCTGTGACTGTAAAAAGCTATGAGTGTGAGACGTTACATAAATGTAGGAATTTAGATTGATTTGTCAAAGAAGGGCAGATTAAATTCTCAGTTTAATTATGTTCATAAACATCCACCGAACAGCAAAAATATTTCTCATGGCTCATTGCTCCTCAAAGGACTCATCTTTGGTGGGAACTTAAATCACTGATCAAAGAACAGGTTTCACTCAGACAGGAGCAAGTTAGATTATTGCACGCCTTCAGACTCAGTGGAAAACCATTTCCCTTTTCAGTCATTATTACCTGCTGATGCACTTTGTTTGGCCAGTATATGGAGTATGCAAAAACGTTTTTATACTGTGATGTTAAAAAAGTTCACAGAATGAAGCCCTGCATTTACAGTAACACCAGTGATGGGCAAGCTATGTCAGAAATGTAGTGAGCTAAGCATAGACTGTGTAAACTATGGACAACTTGGCCCCTCTTTCCATAATTATAAGAATTTGAAGACAAATTGCTCTCAGTACTTCCGGTATTTTCTCCACTTCCTGGAACCATCACTCGCACTCGCATAGGCTGTATCAAGTGTCAATCATAGAAAATATGAACCCCCTAATAAAAAAGAGGACTTGAGCACAAACCAGTCTTACAGTAACTACATGTCAACATCGCAATCAGGGGGGGAAAAAAAATTACATTCTGTGTTATAAATTTCTAAAGTTTGTCCACAGCTCCATAAGGATGGGAGGCGGGATTTATGCCCTGTATCGCAGCCCGTCACTAGAGGGTGCTGTTCTCGCGGTGGCTTCACCTAGCGATGAGATAGACGGTGTCCATTTTATACACAGTGTATAGAATTAAGCTTTCAATTAGATTTTGCTTCACTACACCATAGCTAACCCCTGAAGAAAATGGAGCAAGCAAAAATATACACAGCGATGTGTTATCAGTCAAAAAAAATAACTAACTGATATATGTCGTATCATTTATATATTTTTTGAACAGTCATCTTTGGCCTTAAAATTCACATAAAGTTCACATATATTTATCATAGACCAAATCAAAACAGTATATTAATCTATATTAGAGTAATCAGAATAAAGTCTTTTTTAACATAAATAAATGACATGCATGTATTTTCATTCATCATCTAATTGCTCCTGAAAACTGAACCATAATGACTACATGCAGTGTCTTGACTTGTAGCGAAAAGGAGAATGGGATTTTCAAGACCAGCTCATGTAATCAACAGGCCACCATACCAGGTGCTAAATGAGCAATAATTATAACAATCTTGGTTCTCCTCTGGAAAATATCTTGGTCCTTTGTGCAGCCGGTTAGAGTCAAACTCTGTAAAGTGTCCGCTCTCATACAGCAGGAGTCCTCACTAAGTAAGGTTGCGTGTTTGCAAAGTTAAACTGAGTGATGATTGACAGAGCAGCTGAAACTCCATGGACCAACTTTGATGTCCAAAGTGAAGTTCGATAAATGAAGGGTGGTGGTATTAAAAAGCACAGATATGTTTTTAAAAAGATGGCACAAAATGAATGGAGTGGTAATTTACTAAATCAGTCTATACGTCTGTGATGATGTGTGTGTGTCACTGTTGGATATTAAGAGCTGTTGTGAGCAACACTGTCACATTAGAAATCAAAAAGGAGGCACGGACAGTCAGATGGTAAATCTGTTTGAAATCAGGCTTGTATGCCAGAAGTTGAATGCCCGCAGGCTGTGCTCTGTGTACTCTCTCAGCTTTTTAATCAGGTCCCTACTAACGTCAGGAAACCAGATTTCTGTCCACATGTCGATGTCCATGGATCTCTGTGTCTTTGTATATCTGTTAAGATCTCTGCTGAGTTACTCTGTCCTTAATCGAAGCAGAAATGTGTCTGTTTGAATCCTGTTTTTGTTGTTTCCTCCTCTGAAGGCAGCTGAAGGATGCTCTGATCCTGTGTCCGGTTGAGTAGGTGTATCCTGACGGCAGAGTGGTGTCAGTGCATGTCCTCTAGATTCAAAGTGAAGTCAAACCCAGGATTGTCTGATTTAAAGTTCTTTAAACTTCTGTTGTATTCTCACTGATTAAATTTTCTACCTTGAAAATGTGTTATAATGATTAAGCCCATAATCATCGGATGAAAAACCCCTCAGTTTGCTGCTTTTTGCTGTGTCGGTTTGAAAGCTGTAATCTGTATTTTTAGTGTTCAGGCTGTAGGTGGTATAAACCTCATTAACTTGACAAATGGAGGTCATTTTCCTCCTCCCTGATTGACAAGCAGCTACAAACAAAACAGGATCTTTAGCAGTCTGTTTTTATGTGGTTATCAAACATGATCATACTTTAACCATCAAGGTCACCAAGGTTTACCAAGCTGTGGTGTGTGTTCATGTTATAACAGGGAGTCTTTACTATGAAGCTGGTTTGGGTTATTCTGAAAGCTGACAAAAGTCTGCTTCAGTGAAGGATGGTTTCTTTTCACCTATTCATGAAAGGTGCTCTGTTTAATTTATGCAGAGTGCTGAAGTATTAAAAACCTGCAGGCTTAGACAGAGGCTCTGCTGTATGTGGACTGACTGACTCTCTCTGTCAGCTACCTTTAATCAGCTTTTTAATTCTTTCTGTTTCCAGGCAGAGCGAGAGCGTCAGTATGAGCTCCCCCAGGCCCACCGCCCCCCCAAACCCCCGAAGGAGTCCTACCTGGTCGAGCAGGTTTTCTCTCCGCACCCCTTCCCTCCCTCTGTTAAAGCCCACGTTAAAGGCAGCCCTCTGTACACTGACCTGAGGCTCAGCAGCCTGACGGAGGGGAAGCGCGGTCAACCGTCGTGGACCATGGAGGAGTACAAACGCAGCTCAGGAGAGAAGGGGAAGCAGCTCACGGCTCTGGACCTGCAGGTACATGATTCTGCATGCTGACCAGGAACATAACTAGAACAGTCATTTGTTACGTTACAAGTTAATGTGTTCAACGATAACACATTGTGCTTGTTACAACCCCGTGGTTCTAGGGGAAAAGGGAAGTAACAAAAGGTAACAAAGGAATACATGGCAGGGCAAAATTATTTATAATGAAATACTTAAACCAAACAAAAACAGGAATTAGCAATAAACTATAACTATGAGCAGAGTGGGAGGCGGCTGGAACGAAGAGATTCCAATCAAAGGAAATCAAAACCAAAACTCTTACTTATCTGGCAGGCCCTTATCTTATTTAGACAAAATGAAAGCAAACCAAATCCACCTGCTTAACTAACCTGAACGTACACGTCAAACAAAAATACAATCAAGGTTCCACCTATGACTTCTATAAAATCTAACAAAGGACGACTACCTCATAAACTCCAAAGAAACCACAGGAAACAAAACCTAACCCCAAAGAAAGTTACCTCAATCCCTAACTAATGTCTCAGTCTATCACGGTAACAATATACAATATACAATATACCGATCCCACCATATACCAAACATCCACGAGACACACAAGCCAAATCTAACCAAGCTGCCTCCCCCTCTGAAGTTTTTCGGTCACTCTTTTAATTTGGTGGATGGCAACAGTGAGTAGGGAAAACCGCCAATTCGTACGTCCCCTGTCAACAGCAGCGAAGATCTTGTATCCCCAAGATGATCACTCACTTCGCGACCAGCCGGGTAAAATAACGATAATGCATCAGATTTGGGGAAAAGGAGAAAACATACACAAGGCAAAAAAAAACACCATACCTAGGGAACCATAACAGTGCTCTATGTTACTTACCAACAAATGTGACCGAGTGTTAGAGTGCTGGGGCATTTCTAGAAATGAATATCCCTTAAATCTCCACCTCATTACTGGTACCAGTCAGCCTAACTAGACTTCATATAGCCTACGACATGTGTACTTGTTAGTTTTGACTCCACAGCCGGTATTTTAGCCAAGTCACCAAACCTCAGGTCTAATTTAAGTATCAGTGTTTGAGTACAGCAGTTAGCAAGTTACAGTAAAGAGGAAGAACTTCTTTTAACAGGCGGAAACTCATGTTAGACACTCATCTGCTGAGACTGAGCTGGGTTTAGAGAGGAGAGAAAGAGAGAGATGGACAGAGGAGAGACGGATGCTTGTAGTTGAAGCAGCAGTAAAGCAGACAGATCCTCAGCAGCTAAAGGTCTGCAGCAGTGATCCAGATGAACCTACAGCATGATGGAGCTCAGAGACTCTCTGAAAAGACTGAGTATTAGTGACTCTAATGGGACGTGATGATTCAAAGTTAATGACACAGACAGAAGGAGGATGGAGAAAGAGGGAAAGGTGCTCAATGAACCAGTTCCCCCGATGGTCTAAATAGCAACATAACTCAGATCAGGTCCAGACCTGAACCAGGTCTTACTCTCAGCTTTATAAAGAAATATATCTCAAAGTTTAAAAGTTTGAACACATTTAGTTCCTGTTATCCAGTTTGAATCTAGCCTTCAATATGAGATCAGAATAACTGCAGATTCTTATAACCCAAGTTTTGCTAATCCTGGTAAAAGTTTAGAACATCATTCACTCTCAATTTAATCTAGTTAATATCAAAATTGGATTATCTAATCAAATCAGATGAAAGAATCCTTTTTTCCTTTTAGTAGTTTTTTCATTTCAGATTTTGACCCACTCAGACGTAATCAGATCAGATTAGTTTTGAATCTCTTGACTGTAGGGGATATTTTATAGATCTGAATGAACAATAAATGCTAAAAGTTTGGTACTGCTTCAAAAAGGAATAGGACAAAAGTGGGATTGAAACGTTATCCTTTGAAGCTTTTCAAGCTCATTAAGCGGCGAGAAATAAAAGCAACACGACTCTGCTGTCCCTCAGGGGTAGAGAGGCACTCTGGGAAATGTAGGGAATAATTAAGTGATGCTGACAAAGGAAAACAAGCAAGGAAGTTCATTAAAGGAGAAAAAGATCCTCGCTGCAGTGCTGCTTTATGAAATCCTAATGTGAATTGAACCTATGTTAACGCAGGTGTTTAAGATGATCTGTGAGAGAAAACCCCAACCATATGGCCGCCCACTCAAACAGTGACACAGCAGGACGGCTGAGTTCTGCCAAGTGAGAGAGAAGAAAGGTAGAGCATGTGAGGGATGGAGGGGGAGAAAGGGGGGAGAGGGGGAGAGAAGTTGGCTGTAAAGTCAAATTGCAGGGTGTTATAAATAGCATCAGGACAGTAGTGAAGACAGTGTGTGTCACAGCTGAACTGCTCTCCTCTAATAAGTTCAAACCGTGAGCGCCTCACACTCACTGTGACTGTAATAGTGTCAGCAGGCTCTCTGCTCAGGAGACTCATTATGGAGAATCAGTGTTAATGATCCTCAATCTGAATCCTCAATTCTCTGAGTGACTGTTTGCTGATTACAGAAGGTTTTAATCCGACTCATGAGTTTCAGTTATTCTCGTCAATATGACTTACAGAAAGGTAGGCAGGACCACCAACATTTCTGTTTACATTTCATGCCTCTTTCATGGTGGGAGCCGAGAGGAAATCTGATTTCTGGTTTTCTGTTAGTTTCCCCCCTCTGTCCTGTACCTGTTGGTTCTGCTGTGGTATTAAGGCCTCATTTAAACCATATGACCTGAAAGGGAACATGAGGGAGGAATGTCTGTCCCTGATGCTGTTTTTCATAGTTTTTGTTTTAAGATTTTATCCAAAATGTGTTTTTGATTATATCAACTGTGGATCCTTTTGGCCATCACCTGATGACAATAATCGCCCCTGGAGTCTACGGCATGATCTGCTTTGTTTACAGTATAAATGACAATATAAAAGTAATGCGGTCAGATAAGAAGGGAAGAGAAACTCAGTCCTCCAGAAATGTCTGCAAAGTACTTGTTTTTGGTTCCCCAAATCCCCTGAAGTTATAATGTACACTGAAGAATAGAGCAGATTGTGCTCTGCCTGCTTTTGCTCTCCATACGGCGGTGGCTGGGAAGTACAAATCAAAATTATGAAATCTGAAACACTTTTGAAGACTTTAAGCAAATTTTAAAAAACATTTTTACAATTGAAAAAATAATGTCACTAGCAAAACACTTTAGCTAAGTTACATTATATTTTTTGTGTTTGGCTAGTTACTGTTTGTAAAATGTTTTTTAAAATCTTTACAATTAAAAGAAATGTAACTAGCGAAAGTGTTTGGCTAGTTACAATATTTTTTTTACTGTAAAAATATTTTGTTAAATTTTTACAATTAAAATAAATGTAACTAGCAAACGTGTTTGGCTAGTTACATTATTTTTTTTATTATAAAAATGTTTTGTAAGATTTATAAAATTAAAAAAAAATGTAACCAGCAAAAATGTTTGGCTAGTTACATTATTTTTTAATTGTTGAAATGTTTTGTAAAATTTTACAATTACAAGAAATGTAACTAGCCAAAGTGTTTGGCTAGTTGCTTTATGTTTTTTATTTTTAAAATGTTTTTTAAAATTTTACAATTAAAAAACAAATAATGTAACGAGCAAAAGTGTTTTGCTTGTTACGTTATTTTTTATTGTTAAAATGTTTAAAATTTGTTTAAAGTTTGTAAAAGTGTTTCAGATTTTGTCATTTGATTTGCACTTCCCAGCCACCGTACCATACAGTCTGTTTTCTGTGCATACTCTAAAGCCTGAGTGGCCAATAAGTATGAGACTAAAAAATAGAAAAATAGAGTTTTTCTTATGCAAACGTGTCTCCTGTCCACTTCATAGATATGCTCTTTATTACATTCTCTTACACACCTTGGACACCTTTGTATTTATATTGTGGCAGAAAAGCTCTTGTTTGATTTAATTTAAACTAGTACACATTGTGTCAATGTATTTAGGCGAGCATAAAAGTAAAATAAACTAACAATTTAAAGTACACACAGCACACACGGGATTATAGCATCGATCAGTTGATAGGGGCTGCAGATTGAGATGTTCCTCAGGGTGCTGCAGGTATATTACAGACAGGTTTTAATGTGTGGTCAGCTGTGCACTCTTCATAATATTCTGTTCATTTGCACAAAGGTTGTGACAGACTCAGACAGTCTCTCCATTATAAAGAAAATGAAGTTTAAGTGCAGCCATTGTGTGTGGTGATGTTAGCACTCTGTAATGCTCTGCTGACAGTCGTCTTTATGACAAATATTACATATCTGACAATGCTTTTACAGATTAATTACAGCTTAATGTCCAAATTGCATCCCTCCAGCGCGGTTCTCTATGTCAGGCCTTTTAGCTCACTCTCAAAGTAATGGAGCTTAATTAAGAGAAAATTAACAGAGTAGTGTAATCTACCAGTCTGTAATCTATCATATTAATGCAGAGCATGTTTGTTTCTGCTGCTCTCCCTCACTGCACGAGCAGAAATCACTTTAATTATCAATATGTTGTTAGTTGGATCATTATAAAGATGAATGTTTTCAGTGAAGCTGCAGCAGAACAGAATGAAAAACACAGATTCAGTCTTCATATAGGAGAGCCTCAGTGTGCGCTCACATGTTTTTATCAGATTCAGACTCCAGAGGATGTTCCTCCGCTCTGCAGATCAACAATATACTGAACCTACACTTTATTAAACTGGCCTTGTTTCTGCTAGAGAGAACCCTTAACACCGTCAATTTTTCTGTGAAAAATTGCATTTTTTAAACTTTTTGACCATTTATTTCCCTCTGACCTTCACTAGCTTAGCAAAACCTCAATAAATGGGAGTCAGACGGTATTCTTGGAGTTGCATGGGTTTGAAAACGAAATGATTTAAACAACAGTGCTCATTAAAAGGCTTATGGCTGAGCTTGTTCATGCAGCTGATATATTTTTTACCTTATCTCATTATTAAATCAGTATTATAATAGTAGCAGCCTTCTCTCAACACAGAAAGCTCTGGTCTGAAATAATGTAAAGTACCATGTAAAATCTGTTTTAATATGATGGAAAGGTAGCTGCTATCTGGACCATTGAGTAGAAGTTCACATAATTGAGTTTAAAGTACGCTTAAAAATGTCTTACAACCTACAAATGTTTGAGATTGTGCTGATTTGAAACAGACAAAGATAGTCCAAGAAAAAACATCAGTTAATGTCAGTGATTTGCAATCTTCTTTTAAATATGAGCTTGAAAGAATAAAGTTTAAATCTGATTCAGAATAGCAATGAATCTTTTACATATTCAGAGGCTTTGTCCACATCGAGATGATGAGAGGAGCCGGGAGTGAAATTCATTTTAAACCCCTTTGTTTAATTGAGAAAAGTATAAAGTTAACAACTTTGGGGGAAAGTGTACCGTTAGTTTCAAATTTAATGCCAGGGTTATGTTTCTGAAAACTGGGACAGCGGAGTGATTGCCATTGCGTTGCATCACCTCTTCTCTTACCGACCGCGTGTAAATATTAGAGAAACAAGGAGACCAGTTTCTATGGTTTAAAAGTGAAAAGTTTTCCCTTTATTACCCAATGTAGTTTCAACTTTTCATATGTTTTCTATGCACTATTTTCAATTTAATATGGGTGCCAAATTACTTCAAAAAGAGATCAGTTCCCACCAAGCCTCAGCGTATGATAATATATTCAACCTGAGTTCTTTGGTGTGTTTTTAAAATGATGTGAATTTTCATTGAAAAGTGTTGGTTTGCTACAGTGGTTATGAGTTGTAAGCCAGTTTCTCTGTTTAAAGCTGATAAAAGACAAAAGGTCTCATGTGTCTATCATACAGTCAGGGAACGTTTTTTTCATATTCAAGTAATTCACATCTAACTTCAATTGAAAAGATCTCAAATGTGTCCTTCTGTGTTCATATTTCCACTAGACCCAGGAGTCCCTGAACCCCAACAACCTGGAGTACTGGATGGAGGACGTCTACACCCCGGGCTTTGATTCGCTGCTGAAAAGGAAGGAGGCGGAGTTCAGGAGGGCGAAGGCGTGTAAGATCGGCGCTCTGATTGCAGCTGCTACCTGCACCGTGATATTGGTCATCGTTGTTCCTATTTGCACCATGAAAACATGAATGATAGTTTGAATCCTGCCTGTGCGAGCTGTGGGTGAGTGTGCAGCAGATGGACTGATAACGTGGACTAACCGGGACTCTGTCTGATGGAGGTTTGTAATTTTTAATGCAGTATTTACTTCAGGTGGTCTCTCTGCCAATATAAACCCCATTAGGACAGCTATTGTACTCTAGAAATGAAATCAGCAAGTGCATACTATCTAAAGTGTATATAAAGGTTTAACAGTAGTAGTTTATTGTATTCTTATAAACTGGGAGCTCATGGATTGACTCGTCTGTCTCTAACACCTGCAGCAGATGAACTGAACCAGATTTGTTATTAACGTAGCCAGCGTATGATATTTTTATTTTTCCTATATTTATTGTACAGCGTATTTTGATCAAAGTTATTTTTGATGAATTATCTGGTTGAATGTGAGAATTATTTTTATTTTATTATCTTTCTTCAATAACAGCAGGCATTTTAGGTAATGAACTTTGTGCGATACATTTTTCTAATTAGAAACACAGTATATTGAAGTAGTTCATAATAAAGATGTACATGTACATAGGCTGCAGGCACATTATGACTGCACAGATAAACTGAATGTATCAATAGCCTGCTCAATTGTAAAGCAATGACGAGAGGAGGAGTAATTGAATGTTGAGGCGTAACCATCCATCAGCTCATAGCAGCCCTCCATATGAAACACTCCGTCTCTCCTTCTTCCTTTTTCTTCACTTTTTGTTTTCTGTGAGGCTCACCTGAGCGGATTGCAGGGCTCAGCATTATTGATTACACTCGTTTCCCACACCAGCACAGAGTAAACAGCATCACCAACAAGCCTCTCAGCAGGCTCACCCATCCGTGTGCTGCTGCAGGTTTTTAATGCCTTAAAGCCGAGACTCTTCTGTAGCGCAGACAACCCACCATTAAAGTCCACCTAGTTCCACCTAATCCAGACTAAAAGCCTCTTTCTGACCTCACTATAAGTCGGACTGTTAGTTAAAGTCAACAGTCAAATCATGGTGTAAAGAACCTTGAGATGACACTGCTAACCCTGTGTGTTTGTTTTCTAAATTGCACCATGGTGCTCACAAGAAACAGCATGAAAGCCTGAAATTATATTAAAAAGGAAGACTCAGAGTTGGGCTGTTAATTACATTTTTGGATTATTTATTTTCTGTCTGGCCCTGAGGTTCTTCACAGGAGCTCATTCACAGGAGGTCTAAAAGACGAAAAGACAAAACAAACCAGCACTGGGTTGCTTCGGTTTAAGGTTTAAATGTTGCCTGGTTGTGATTTAAAGGCACTATAAGAAGTTTTTAACTGGTTGAGGAACAGACAGAAAATTATCCTGATGCTTCTGGATCGAAGTCCATGTATTCCTATCGTAGACTTTATATAGAATGGACAGCATCTGCCTCCTCACTGAGTGAAGCCACTCTGAGAACAGCACCATCTGTTAATGGGCTGCAGTATAGGTCATAAATCCCGCCTCCGCCAGCAAAGCTTATGGAGCTGTGGACAAACTTTAGAAATTTATTACACAGTACATAAATATTTCTCCCCCATTTGTGATGTTTACATGTAGTTAAAGTAAGACTGGTTTGTGCTCAAGTCTTATTTTTTCCGTGCAGTTCCATTTTTAAAAGTTATTAGGGGGTTCATGTTTTCTTTGATTGACACCTGATACAGCCTATTGGCATTCAGGGATTGCGTAGCTCACCCAGGGGGATACGCTGTTTGAGACGAGCGTCATCACAGCGACTCTCGGCGACTCTTCGGTGAATGCGCACAAAGCTACTGTGCAATGCTGGTTTCCGGAAATGAAGAAAAATTGCATTAATACCAAGAGCTATTTGGCTTCAAATCCGTATGCAGGCGGGAAGCAGAACCAAGTTGTCCATAGTATATACAGTCTATGATTCCTATCCTGAGAATTTTAAGGCCCAAACCTGCAGTGAGAGAGTAGGTATCAAACTGAAGCTCCTTTTTTCATGATATCTACTCACAATGTGTAAAATATTTAAGCAACTAAAGATAAAAGGAGGAGGTTTTGTACAGAATAAAGGTCCTTTCACACCCGGACTGTTTTTCAGGTGTGATTTTTCGGACGTCAATATTTTTTTCTGAACCCGTATCCTGTCAATACAAGCGTTCACGTCTGTGACATTTTCCCGTCCTGCGATATTGCGGCATTTATTTTTTCTGATCACAGTTGATTTTTCTAAAGATTCGCATACTGTGTGTCCACTTCGGACCAATCAGATTGCGTGTTGTTGCGACGTCAGATTCACCGGTATATCCGACATGGCCGACCAGCTGATCGTTTATGTGTCGGAGAACACATCCCATTGATTAAAATTTTCCTGAAGGTTTTGAGTCAAAGTTTTAATTTTTCATGGGCAGAAACAGTTAAGAAAGGGGCTGTTCACTCATTTCTACAACAGTTTTTGGTGAGTTTACTCTATTAGTTTGGATGAACCTGATGTCTACATCGTGCAATCAAACCAAAAATAACTCAAGCTCAGTCAGCGTTGCATCTGCAACAGCTCACAGAAGCAGCAGAAAGAGTAGGGAGGCTGAAACAGAGCGCCCAATTTGACATTTTCTAACTACATGCATGTTGCTGTGTGGGCTGACTTTGAACTAACACTTTGCTCAATTTACAAACTAGTCTGTTCAAACAAATGGTCTGAGGAGGATTTTTCACCCTTATGTAAGACACGACTCAGACAGAGATGGTGCAGCATACCTCTGATGATGAAAACCAGTAAAACACTGAAGACAGCAGTCTGGTGTGAGGAGGATGGTTTTCTCTGGGGCTTTTCTGCAGGGTTTCCAGGGGCTGCAAGCTGAGCTGTCACAATCTTTCGCTTGTGTTGGAAATCTAGAGCTGTGTAGGAGTTTCAGGACACCCAGATGACTCATGCTTGATTATTTACTGAAGAAATGACACAGAGGAACAACTACCAAACAGTGGGGGAGATTTCTCAAGGTTTTGCTCAAAGGCAGAGTATCTCATGCACTTATTATATTCTAAAAGTAGCATCTGTTTTTACCCCCCCTCTATGATTCATCACTCTAAAACATTCAGGCTGTGACCCCCTAATCTCAGGTTTATGACTGACCTGATTAATGTGGTGTCATTCCTTGAAACCTTTTACTAAAGAATGCCTGTAAAATGCCTTCAAAGCTTGTCTTAATATTATTAAAAAGCAGAAACCCACATGAAAAAATCTGCATTTTTCTTGAAGCAGAAACCTCGGGATCAGATTGCTCTCTTAGAAGACACCAGACTTCATTCACGTCTCAAAACACTGGCGTTTCTTTTCTTCAACTGCTTATTGTTGAAACTGCTGTTTGACTTTCTTGTCTTCTGCTTTGTTCTGATCAAAACGAAAAGTGTTTGACACACACAAAGTGAAATTGTCTGGCGGCTTTGAATAGAGCAGTGTAATGGCTTTTTAAAAGATTATCTCTAACAAAAGGTCTCTCTCTGCGAGGACCCGATTTGTAACATTTTTAGACACTAAAAGAATCAAATCTGAAGCTGTCAGAGGTAAAAACGAAAACTTTTAATGGATACTCTTTCTCTTTTTTCACTAGCTTCTCTCTCTTCTCGCTTCTCTCGTCAGCAGTACTCAGTATTACAAAGTTAGAAAAGTTGTCTCAAGGCAATTTGGCTTCCTTATTGACCCTTAAATTTGTTTTAAAATGCTCTCTGTGTATGTTTTTAGTACAGATTTTTTTCCAGTAATGAGAAGGAATCGCTTCTGGGAGAACATCGGTGACTTGTGCAGGAGTTGCATGCTTGTCACTGTTTTTTTTTTCAGAGTGAACAGGATCTTATTTGAGATAGTGTTGGGAAAACTGGTCTATTATTTGACCACCATTATCCTGGATAAAGGGCTCAAAAGTTGCCTGAAATCTGTTGACAAATTCGGTTAATGTGATATTCGCTTTACAACAGCTAGCACTAGCAGCTCAAGTAGCTACAGTAGCTAACCAAAGAGTGTCTATAGAATGGACGCTGTCTGCCTCCTTGCTGAGTGAATCCACCCTGAGAACAGCACCCTCTGGTGACGGGCTGCAGTATAGGTCATAAATCCCGCCTCCTCCAGCAATCCCTATGGAGCTGTGGACAAACTTTAGAAATTTATAACAAAGAATAAAAAATTTTCTCCCCCCTGCTTGCGATGTTGACATGAAGTTACTGTAAGACTGGTTTGTGCTCAAGTCCTCTTTTTTCTGTACAGCTCCGTTTTTAAAAGTTATTAGGGGTTCATGTTTTCTATGATTGACACTTGATACAGCCTATGGGTGTACAAAGTTAAAATAACTAACCCAGGGGGTACGCTGTTTGAGCCAAGCGTCATCACAGCAACTCTACCACTGAATGTGTACAAGTGATAGTTCCAGGAAGTGGAGAAAATCCAGGAAATACCAAGTGCAATTCAGCTTCAAATTCGTCTAATGATGGACAGCAGAACCGAGTTGTCCATACTATACAGTCTATGTAGCTAACATAGATTGTAAGCAGAACTATGAGCTGAACAAAAAGACTCTCACACAATGCCTCAGCGATTTGTGTCACATATTTCAGTATTATTGTAGAGATAACCCTGCTCCATCATAATTTGGATAGGTCAGTGAGATAGAAGTGGTGACCCTTGTAGAGTTCTGTGAACACAGCGACCAAAAACAGCCGACAGTGAGCGTGGTTTGGTTTTGGACTAAGCACTAAAAACACTGAACTGGATTAGAAAAGCGAATAACATCCAGTCAGGACCACTGAAATCTAAGAAAAAGATTATTTGGATGCCATTAGTTCAAACAGAGTGCCCATGTTGATTTCAGCCAATTAGATGCATTAAAGGGAAATCTCAAATGACTCTATGCTGATAAAAACCTGCAGCAGCTCACAGTGTTTAACCTCCACAGCCCACGAACAAACATGGATTTTATATATGGAAGTAACCTGCTCTTGTGTGTTATCAGCCTCACATGAAGTTTCTTATCTGCTGTATGGAGATGTTTTATTGTGCAAATGTCTGAACCTTGTACATGAAAGAATCTTCAGTGACATTGTAGAAGAAACAAAGATTAAACACACTGGCTCAGTGCAAGTTCACATGTTGTATCATCAAACAAAGACCTGAAGGATAAACCCCTTTGAATGTAACACATCCTTTTTTTTAAATTGTACTTGTTAACTGAGTTTGATCCATACTGTGTTTGTAAGTCAGATGCTGAGCACAGATGTGAGCTAAGTGCTGCTCTGCGGGTTTCTCTATCTGTTTACCATCCGCTGCATCGTATCTGCCTTCATACAGGAACGTGAGCTCAGCACACTGTACCAGTCTGTAAATACTTTCAGGACCGAGGCACATTATAGGAGCAGCTGCTAACTGGAATATTACCAATAAAAACGTCTTGTTCTGACTGTTCATGGTGCTGTGTTTCCTTTCCTTTCTGAAGTCTTTTTTGACCTTACAACTGAGAGACCACCAGCTTTACTTCTGAGCCACAGAGACCACTTTAACACTTTTGAACCTTTAAGATCCTCACTTCCTTCCACTAATTCACCGACTGTACACAAAATGCTTCTCTTTTAATCTCTCTACAATGCTTGTTTCATCTTTTTAGAGTCTTTTATGTGTCGAGATTTGTTGCGTTCTCCTCTTTTTATTGCTACGGTTTGTCATTAAACTTTAATTTGGATTTAAGCACTGTGGAAACCAAGCTTCCTCAAGCGCCTGTGGGGATTACTTTTTGCATAATCCTATTAAATTGAATTAAAATTGATACTACAAATGTCTGTCACAGCTACATGAGGGGTCAGGCTTCTTTTTAGGAAAAAAAAAAAAAAAATCAGATGCTCAGTCCTGCAGTCTCTTTTGAAAAACAAATAACATGTACATTGTCTGGGCTCAGCCTCTGAGGGTCAGGTGCTCAAAGACACCCAGAGGGAGCTGAGGGTGAAGACGCTTCTTCCTCTCATCGTCACCAAAGGAGAGAGAAGGATGGATGAATGGATTTGTCCTTAACACCACGTTTTTGTTGTAGGAGATTTGGCTTTTCCCCAGAACATAATTCTGAGCTCTCGACGGTGTTACCTTCAATCTGAACACAGTTATTACTTTGTGCATCTGTCTCACAGCCAGAGACTCCAGACACTTCTTTGCAGCTCATCTTTGGTGTTGATCGGTGTCTCTGCCTCCCACTCTGCTTTGGGAGACCCTCAACTCCACTTGCAGGCTTGTTTTATGAGCTCAGTGTACACTAGAGAGGAGGCAGGACTCCTCTGTTGCAGTCCAGTTTGGTTTAGTGCTGTTTGGTACAGTTCTCTCAGCCAGCTGTACCCTGGCACTTTGAATGCTTTGATTTTCATTTCACCGTGCATGCTGACAAATTAGACCACTCAAAGTGTTCAGAAGTACACATAATGTTTTCCTCACGCACTGGGTTACCTGTTATTTTCTGCAAGCTGTGTACAGATTTCTGCCAAAATAGACAAACACTAATAAGCTGAGGGAGTTGGTGGCTCTGTATCGGCTACGTTTATGTGACAAGCATGAAACACTATAGCTTTTTTTAAGGAAAAGCCTGACCCCTTTATTCTGTGGTTTTTTTCAGGATGGTTATTTGGTAAAAGAAGTAACTAGCACAGCTCTTTGTTTAAAGGAATATTCTGGCGTAAAATTAATTTAGGGTCAAACACACCGTAACACCGAGTTAGTGACCGCCTCCAGAGATGAATGTTGCCGACTGCTTGCTTTTCTAGCTGTACCAACTTAAGTAATGACTGCATGCTAGCAATACACAGCGGTCTATGTCTCCATGCACAAACCTCAACCAAAATGCCACTCCATAGCCATAAATAATGCTCAGAACAGCACCTAACTTTATCAACAGTACATATAGGGTCCCAGCCATAGTACTAGCCACTAAACATCTTTTTAGCTTTGCCTGATTTCTTTATCAAAGAGACCAAACTTAACTCACCTGCTCTCTTCCAGCAGCCGCTTGTTTGTGGGGGAGCCCTGACGAGTCGATCACAGAGAGCAACAGAGTTTCGCAGCTCAAACAAGAACATTTATGATCATTACTTAATCAAAATGCAACGCTAAGGCAAAATGATTATTATGATGATTATTACTTCAAGGATTTGATCCGCTGCACTCTGTGATCGACTCGTCAGGGAAGTTGGTATAACTAGAAAAGCGAACAGTCGGCAACATTCATCTCTGGAGGGGGTGTCTAACTCGGTGTGTTTGACCCTAACTTAATTTTATGCCGGAATATCCCTTTAAGCCTACATTGGATTTTATTTGGTAAAACAATCTCAAAACTTAAAGAGTCATGGTAAGTAAGAGAAAAAGAGCATTTTTAAGGGTTTTATCCCATCGTTAGACTTTTATCTAAACCAGTGGTTCTCAAGTCCAGTCCTCGAGGCCCACTGTCCTGCATGTTTTGGATATTTCCCTGCTCCAACACACCTGATTCAAATGATCAGCTCGTTATTAAGCCATTACAGAGCTTGATAACGAGCTGATCATTTGAATCAGGTGTGTTGGAGCAGGGAAACACCAAAAACATGCTTGAGACCCACTGATCTAAATAATTACAAGCTTTGTGAATAATCACATTTTACCAGATATATCTTAATGTGGGAAGAATTGCATTACATAAAGACAAACAGAATAATTCTGTTTTAGACTTTGAAGAGTTCAGTGTTTATTTCCAATCTAGTCTCATTTGCTGGAATCACATCAATCTTTAATATTTATGAATTGAAGTTGACAAGGCTGCTCCCAGAGATCGAAGGGAAGAAAGATCACATGATCACACTTAACGCACAGCACACCTCAGGATAATCTGGCAAGATAGTCTTTAGAACCATTTGACAATCAGGCCTTCGCTGAAATTGGGTCCAAAATTGACACGATCATCTGTGTGTGTGTGTGTGTGTGTGTGTGTGTGTGTCCTGCTCTATCTCAACAAAAAAAGAACAAAAATCTTTATTTTAGGACCTTTCCCAGCTTGGTGGAAGCTTATGATCTCTTTCTGATATTATTGTTGACTTGGTTCAGTGCAGAGAGGAAGAAATTATTTACAGGCTCCTCAATGGAGCTTCTGCAGGGACGATACAATCAACATGGTTTGCACGACTCCAGAAACACCCTGACCAGCTGAGGAAATATGCAAGACTCCTGAAGTCTAGTGCACCATCTGGGCGTAAACAAAGTTAGTTGTATCTTTTATATTAGTGTTTACAATGACTGAGTCTCTGACATGAACCAAGTGCATCAAGACCTGACTGAGACCAGTTATAGGCGGATCTACTATCAGACTTATGCTGCAAGTCACACACTTCCATCTCATCTTCTCTCCACTGAAGGTTTGGATAAGGAGAAAAAATACACAGAGAGAAATACTCATAGAGATGTATGCAGAATGTTAAATACGGAGGTCTGTAACTAAAACTGTCATTATACGGCAGCTCAGTCATTGACATATTTGGAGAGAATTCCCTCACTTTCACTGGAATAGATGGCATTGACAGCTCAGAGCCTCATTTACATAAATCCTGAAAGCAATCAGCACCCGCGGGACGAGGACAGAGTCCTGTTTCTATCCAGCACATGCTGCAGTTGATGAATTTAACCATGGCTGAATGGACAGGGAAATAAAAACAAAACTTGGAGTCGGCTTACATTCTCCGGTCAGATTATTCTCTCTCTCTCTCACTGTAACAGACTTTCTTTCATCTCTCTATAAGCAAAATGTACCTAGTTCCAGTTCTATGTTAGCTACTTTTTCAGTTTTGTCATACTTTGAAGCAGCTAGCTTACAGACTTGCTCCTGCCTTTGTTTGGGCTTGAAAGTTATACCCAGATGTGCCACCATGCAGTGATAACCTTTATAGCACAAAGTCAGATCCAAGGTCATACCCATGCATACGTAAAGCTGCTGCACTCAGCCACAGATTGTCACTTAAATTCAACACCATCCTTCCAGATGTCCTGCTCCGCTCTGCAAGCCCTCAGCTCTGTCAGGAGGTGGTAAACTTCCTCACGGACTCTATACATACATTTTACATCACCCTCATCCAGGATGGAGAGAATTCTGTTCACAGATCAGAGGTTGCAGTTAGTCCTGCTGTGTGTTGAGAAATATTTGCAGCGGAAAACAAACTGTTGAGATGAAGACACGTTTCAGGATCACCAAACCTGACACAACACAGTGTCTGCTAAGGAACATTCAGGGTTTTGGCATCCACATACTCACAGTGACCTTAAGTCCTCCAGTCTGGACTCTACTCATCCATCACTGTCTGGTTTAGATAGGCCACCAATCAGGACAAGAACAGATTACAGTAGACAGTGAGGACCAATCTGTCTCATCTCTGGGTCCTCTACAGGTCCAAAGTCAGGAAACATCACTGCAGATCCATCAAACAAGAAACACCTGTTATAACCTTTCCCCCTGAGGATGAAGCTGCACCAAAACAACCAAACACACAAAAGTTTCTGCAAGTATTCTGACTTGAATATGGGAAAAGTCCTGGAGTTTAAACAAGTTGGACAGTGAGGCATTTGTTAAACGACTTATGACCTTTACATAATGGGCTCTATTTTCACGCCTGCCAGCAGCGCAGTGCAGGGTGGAGGACCCCTTGCAGTGGTTTTTCAGTGCAGCGCAGACTTGCGCACAGCGGGTTTGGTATTTTCTTAGACTGAGGCACACCAAGATGCGCCAAGCTGGGTATGGCGGCGCAGTAGGGGGAGATGTCAACAGATTCAGCTTGTGCAGTGACATTTTTGTGCACACGGGCACCGATTCAAGCCTGGTCAGCTTTCAGTACAGGCAGAGCACAGCTGGTCTAGTGGTATTTTAGTAGACCGGCAGAGCAGTGCGCACACAAGATAAATGTCTCACCGGCAGGTTTCCACAGTGTCAGGCACATTTCAGTGCAATAAATAATCAACAACAACCAATATTTAGAGCAACTATCTGAGTCAGCACATACATTTTGATCTATATCGATATATTCTGATCTGTATCTTATCTGATGAGCGCGTGTGGCGTGCATAATGGATACTCAACCTGACCGAATTAACACAGCTGAAACCGCTGAAACCGCATTAAATTAATTATCCAGTACACATGATGAAGTTAACAAGACATTTAATTCGTCTGCCCCTTTTTCTCTCTTCCTCTTCAGCCTCACACAGCTCGACCTGGACATGTCTCCGTGTCCTCTCCTTGTCCTGCTGCGGGGGCAGCTTCAATGCTGACCAGATGATTTATTTTAGTGATCAGATGAGTTAGTTACAGTGGCCAAGAACCGCCACTGCTGCAAATAAAAAATGTTAAAAAAGGAGTCCGCTGCAAATATAAAAGGGGCGGTGAAGATTATAATCAGCCATAATGGAAATTAACGACGC